ACACACACACACACACACACACAGCTGTCACATCAGTCAGTCAATTCCTTAGAGCGCATAACGCATACTTCATATCGGAATTAAAATTATTCGGATCCTATAATGGGATGGTAAAGGGAAAGGACAAACTTTAGCACTTCAAGACAGACAAATGTAATGAGGAAATATTAGCGATATATGAAATATCCATCTTTACTTCCTTATACTTTCCCTTTTTTTTTTTGTCCTATCCAACAAAATCAATTCCTCTGTGTTTCTCGACAAAAAAAAAAAATAAGAGATTAAGAAGCAAATTGAGGAATTAAAAGAAATGATAATTGGAAATATTTTACTAAGAAACGATCACTAAAAATATATTAACATTTGAAGAATCATTTAATTTTAATGATTGCATCTTACTTTGACTTAAACAGCAACAACAACAACAACAAAAAGTACCTTATCAGTTATTATGATTTAACATTTTGGTATACAATCAATGATTCTGATACAATTCAAGATTCTAGTGCAAACTAAGATTCTGTTACGATCTAAGATTGTGGTATGATCTAAAATTTCGCTCTGATCCAAAGATTCTGAATGAATTTATGCGCTATACGAATAACAGCCATAGTTCATATAAACATTATAACATCAATTTTATATGGTAAAGTGAAATAATATATTGGATGGAAGGGAGAGAGAGAGAGAGAGAGAGAGAGAGAGAGAGAGAGAGAGAGAGAGAGAGAGAGAAAGTAGAAGTCTGAGTGCTATTATGCTATGATCTCTTTGACAATACAAATTGTTTATTTAAATTATGAATATCCCATCTGTCACAGTCTGTCTCATCAAATATTTTTGTTCAATCCTCTCATCATTTTCAAATTTTTTGCATTTAAATATTAAAAAAAAAAAACAACAACGAAAAAAAATGTAACAGAGATTTTATGTACATATATAATGAAGAGAAAAATGAATGAATGACTTTTTTTTTCAAAAATTTGTTAAAAATGAAGAAAGGCAAAAATTAGAAATTATGAATGAGTTGTCAAATGTCTATGCGTATGTAATTGAAATATTTCTGTATGCAAAAGTACTGATTGTGTGTAATGGTCATTGTTGAAATATCTGAACTATCTATCGATCATTTCAATTAATATCAAAAGCTAATTTTTTCTTTCCGTCTTTTTTTCCCTTTCACTAATATAAATTTTTTATATGATGAGAATTTATATAGAAAAAGCATGTTTTTATCATTTCTTTCTTTTTTTTTTCAATATTAGCTGAAAAATATGGATAATTCGAGTAGCTGAAATTTTTTTTTTGTTTTTTTGTTTTTTTGTTTTTGGAATATGCAAATCATTTGCAGAAATATGGGACGATATTATTAAGATAGTGATAATATAGTGATAATATTAGTAATGACAAATATTATATTTGATAAATAATTGAGATCAAAGAAAGTTGAGAGGAATAATTATGAACAGTAATATTTATTGCTAATACATCATCTATCATGATAATGATAACGATAATGGTAAAATGGAAAAAAAAATGGCAGTAATAAAAATGATTCGAAATGCAACAATGAGAGAGATAAAATGGAATGCAACTATAAATAATATTAATGTTGTTATTAAAGTTACACTAATACTGAAATTAAGTGAAATGAAATGAAATGAAATGGAAAAAGAAAAAAAGGAAAGAGGAAAAATGAAGATGGAACAATTCATTTTGTTGCTCCGAAGCAGTTTAATAATCAGAAAGAAAAGATGCTCAATTTGCGCTCAAAATCATTGAAAGAGTAATGTTAACCAATGTATTTGCTTGCTGTGCAAAAAACAAAATTGCAAATTTCTTTTTTTTTTTTCACTATCGAAAAAGAACAAAAAGAGAAAGGGAGAGAGAGAGAGAGAGAGAGAGAAAAAAAAAATTGATGTTTCCTCCAAAACCAATAAGTACAAATGGTAATTTGTTGACGTCACTTTAGAAGGTCAATTTTTCAACAAAAAAAAAAGAAAACTTTTTAAGTAACAGTTATGCTATTTGCTGGACATTTGAGCTATTTTCATAATATCAAATTACTCTCATTTTTCTTTTTTTTAAAAAAAAAACGAGAAATTTATGCTATATACTTCATAAAAATTAAAAAAAAAAAAGAACAAAATAAGAAGCAATTTTACATTTCATTTTCATAAATTCTTTTTTTTCGTCCGCTTAATTATATTCTTGTCATAATTGATAAAAATTTATTGTTTTTTTAAAAAATTGCTCCTAGATTTTATAAATTTTCACATATTTATTTACAGCGCAATTTTATGTTTGCAATAGAAAATAAGCCAGAACAAAAAAAAAAAGAAAAAAATGGAAAGACAGAAAGAATTAAAGCATATAATTTATTACTGCCACCATTTTATTCCAATCATTTCACTACTCATTTCACCTGTGATATCCGCTTTACAAAATAAACCATTTATCATCCGATATCCGAGAATTTTCCAATATTACACTCCCGACACTACTCAATACAATCATTTGATCATCGAAGTATATAATACAAAATTAATTCTCGCTCTTAAATTAATTAATATCACTCAAACAAGAACAATTACGGCTAACAAACATTCATCGATCCACATATGCTATCAAAAATCACTTCACCAATAAATATCAAACATATCAATCATAATTATAAATATAAACATCGCTATATCTTGAAAAACAAATGACATTAGCTGATGTTTTTTAAAGCAAGAAAAAAAAGAAAGGAAAAGAAAAAAAAAGATGACAATAAGAACTAATTTACTGAATTGCCAAAATATTAATTCAATTAGAAAGATTTCATTTAAGGAGGAAGTTCAATTTCTCCATTACATCCTAAAAATAAAAAGGAAAGCGAGAGAGAGAGAGAAAAAATTTCATTCGTTGAATAATTTTATTTTTTTGATAATTTTAATAACTAAAAAAAAAAAAATTAATGAATCTCTAGAATTCTTTATGAATCATATGCAAAAAGTTCACTGTGAAAAAGACTTTTTACAAGCCTTGAGAAAATAATTTTGA